ATCATCCATCCTCCCACATGTTGTATCAGAATTAGCTGTTACTCATAGCCAATAACAAAAGGGTCACTCTAATGAAAAGTGAGTCAGGTTGTTTATTTAAGTTTGAAAAGTGAGTATTAATATTTTTTCTTCTTCTGACCACCACTAGAGCCAATAACAGTATTATCCAGCTCACAAGGATTCACATCTCTTACAGCTGAGTGTTCGTTTTTCACTGCCCATAATTCCCCTCTCTCCACAGATAGTTATTCTCTCCTGCTTTGTTGTTTTTTTCATTGGTTTGTTGTGTTTCTTCCATTTTATGTATTTTTTCTTCCAGTCTAAGTTTTGAGTTTGGCTTTCATATTGCTATGAAAAGGCTTTCACTGCAGAATATATTTCAAAGGCTGAAATCATGGAATTTCTTTATTTTTCTATTTACTGAGAAATATCAAAAAGGGTCAAAGAAAGTTAAGACCCATTAGTGGCTTGGGAACCATCTGGAGAACATTTGTTCAAAGAAACAGCTTAGGTCAAGGAAACAAACATTTGTAAGTGAATTTCACTTAAATGGATTACTTGAAATTTTAGAGATGTCTCCTGAAACAGTTGCTCCATAATTCTGGTTAAAAACTTCATTTTGTGATGACAAAATGGGGAAAAAAATATATATATTTATGTACTGGCGACCTGTCCAGGGTGTACATATATATATATATATATATATATATATATATATATGTACACCAATCACTTATGCAGGCAAACTTTTTCTACACTCTTTTGAGCAGGTAAAAAGGTTTTGAAAATATTTTTTTTTCAGAAGACATTTACACACAACTTTGTGTTGGTTAGAATAGAATTCAACTTAATTGTTATTCCACTGTCACAAGTACAGAGCAAAGAAATTAATTCTCTGCATTTAACCCATCCCCTTGGGGAGCAGTGGGAGTGGGGGATCAAACTCACAACCTCAGGATTCAAAGTCCTATGCCCTAACCACTAAGCCGCCACTTCCCTACCTAACCCAGTAAAATAGATAAAAGTTATAAAATAATAAAATATGGAAGTGTGCAGGCATACTTGTGTACTAGGAATTCACATGCATACTAGGTAACCATTCTGTTGCTTGTTACAATATCAAATCTTTTCTCATACTTGAGTTTGGAAAATGGCAAAAAGAGGTCAAGCAGAACAAAAAGTTGGATAGGTAGGGGCTGCTTACTGTCCTCTGGAGTCGAAATCTGTAAATTGAAGTAGATCAGGAATGAGTGTTATTGAATAAAAACCTCCACTGTGGCACCCCTGCAGGGCCTCTCTTGTGTGTGTGCACTTGCATGTTTGTGTGTGTGCGTGCTCAGGTCAGCAGCCAAATGAGTGATTCCTTCCATCTAGTTTAAAAAGGTGCGTAATGATGCAGAATATCAGAGGTTTATGGAGGCATAATGCCTACGTTTTACTTTTGCACTTACTCTCTCAAGGACCATTTCTTTATCTTTCTCTCCTCCTTTCCAGTGTCCCCTTCTCTCTGTTTTATAGTGGCATTATTATCTCACTCCCCCACCCATTACTGCTCAGGATGGAGCAGAATAATAAATTTCAGGATCATGCCGATGCAGCGTTTCCTCAGCTCAAGCTCATTTTGTGGTGTCAACAGAAAGGGTGCAAAGAAACTCTGTTGGACAACAAAGACTGTGCTGAATGTCGTATCTTTCCAAGTTTATGGCATTGTATTTTTTTTTGTTTTAGAAACTTACAATGATGTCAACTTTAGTGTTGGTCTGGTTGGTGTATATCGGCATGATGACAAAAATATGTTGGTTTAATATTGAGCATAATCACATTTATTTATTTTTTTAAAAGTTGATTTCTTATGAGGGAAATGGCATACATTTATTTTTTGTAAAACTGAAAAAAACTAAGCTAATATCACTACTTTTTATCATTAACATTGTTTCATAGGATTTTAAGTCAATAGAATAAGTCAGTAGAATATATCTGGTCTAAAAAGTTATGTGTGAAAATGACACCCTAAGGCTCTTTACAAGACAATCCAACTTAGTGTTGTCAAATCATATGCTCTGCTCCAATCAAATGGGAACATTTTAACTTAAACTATAACGCAACAGATTCAAATTCAAATGACTGACTGTTTTGGAAATCTTCCGCTGACCGGTCAGAGTCGATGACTTTGTAGCACTCCCTCATCCTGAGCAAGCCTGTGGGGAAAGATGGAGAGGAACCACCCACTTTTGATGAGAAGTAACCTTTCTGTTTCATTCCTGACTCTGATGGCTCTCTGCTGTGACCAGCTGGGGTTCAGAGGACATTAGGGATAAGGAAAGAAAAAAAAAAACAAAGAAAAGAAACTTATAGCTCTCTGAAACAACGATTGCAGAAAGCTAATGACAACAATGACCCCATGAATGACTTTCTCCACTTTGTGGAAAAGAAAAACGGATGGCACACTTCCTGTGATTCTGTTCATTAGGAAGCACAGTAAAGCAAAGTGGAACTAAGTCATCAAAAAAAAAAATAAAAAAAAAAAAAAAAAAAAAACACATTAATAATTTTAGCAGGATTCCTGTGGATTTGTTTAAGAAAGAAATAAAGTAAAATACTTAGGAAATGTAGCTGGAATTACTTTTCATGGGAAAAGTTAACAAAGTGAGTAAATGGTAAATTGCTGGAAAAAGCCAGTGAAAAGCGTTACTAAGTCTTTAAGCATGATTAAAAAAAAGGACTGATCTAGGTAAACATTCTTTTTGAAAGAAAATAAACTGTTTAAGGCAAATAAAGCTTGGTTGCCAGAAAAATGGAAAACAGAACTAATAAGCATAGAACCACTAAACTGGAAGTATTTTTTATTGGAAAAAGATCAACAGTATTTAAATGAAGTTAATGACAGCAATGGCATAATTGGTAGCTCAGCCCAACAAAAAGGGCTCTGCTGGATATAAAGGAAATTCAATCTGAAAAACTCACAGAGAGAGAAGATGCAATTAGAAGAGTTTATTGATACAATAGTTTGAACTTTGGCGCTCAGGCCTCGGCAGGAAACATAAACGATGATTTATACTTTAATGCAGATAAACTGATGTATGAGAGTATGGATATTTCCCCCGGGCCTGAAACTGGTGGTGGAGTTTAGATAGATGAAGTTTGGTTAATCCATAGAGGCTGGTATACAAGGTGATGCTTGAGTTAGATGACACTGAATGAACGAAGTTGCATAAACTGTCCATGAAGAGCAAGCATGAAGCGACTGTGGAGAGAAAAAAATCCCCTTTGGGAAGAAATCTCTGGCAGAACCATTCTCAACATGGCGGTCTTCTGCCGGACCGTTTAAAGTGACAGGGAACTCCGTGAAAGTCTGGAGGGACTACGCACTGGAGGTGAGGTTGAAGTACCATCGAGGAGGAGTCGGATGAGCTTGCTATGGTGGAGAAGGGAATGGAGGTGGGTTGTCTGAATCAAAGTCCGACATAGCGACGGATCTTGCGCTTGTTGAAGAGCAGGTCGAGAGATGATTTGGAGTGGCTTTTAAGGAGAGTGCTGGAAGATAATTGGGCATCGAGGAGATGTAGCTTGAAGTGGATTGGCTGCATCGGAGGCGGATCAGCCTCAGATTGAATGAAAGTAATCAGAGTTTCTTCAGTTGAATTTCCGCCTTAGCTTCATAATAATATCACTGGGCCAAGAGTACTGGAGGAAAAAAAGCAATAAGCTAATAGAGGTAAAGGTTTATTCAGTAGACTCTGTCCAAAGCTAAACACAATTTAAGGCTAGGTGTATCGTCTATGGCAGAGGTCATGGATTAGTGGACCGCAGTCCACATCCGCACCCACCCGCTGGCTAATCCGGACCCAACCTGATTTAAAACATTTATAAATAACCACATGTTGTCTGACGACAGTGTCTGAACGTCATTTACGCCGCTCCTCCTGTGTCTCCAAAATCCCACATCCTCAGTCACCGCTCACCCCCGTTGCGCTCCAGACCTCCTGCGCAAAGCAAAGCCTTCTGCCTCCGCTGTTCCTCCCTTATTGCTGCTCTCCGACTTATCCTTGGAGCTTGAGGAGAGCATGCACTATATTATTAAATTCAGGAGCAAAACCTGCAGAAATTAACGCTTAATTTAATATGACATATTAAAAAATTCAACATATGTTCAGTTTCTGATGTCGATGAGAAATCTGCTTCCTGGTCTGTTGAAGTACCATCTTTTAAAATTTTGAATTGAATTTTGAAATGTATATAAGAATTATGCTGTAATTTGTAGTTACTGATCTGTTGTTACTATATTGTAAATTTGACAAACCAGATCTTCTCGCCGTTCTTTTTCCTGTTTTGTACGGTTGCAATAGACCTACCTGGACCGGAGCGGAGCCTGCACATTTAGAGGATGTTTGGCTCAACCTGCTGCTGTAAAGCAGGATTCTCCACCATGAACATAATCAAAAATAAATATTGATCCAGGCTCATGAATGAGCACCTTGATATGTGCTTGATAATGGCTTTGTCTCCACTCAAACCCAGGTTTAAAGCCTTGCAGGGCAGCCTGAAGCCCACTGCTCTCATTAAGACAGAAAAAAAAAAACAAAAACAAAAAAAACGTTCAGTTCAGGTGTTTTATAAAACATGTGAATCAGCAAATTGTCTATATACCAAACTGAAAGATTGGTATATAGATTTTAAAATATAAAAAAAATTTTGTTTTATTTATTTATTTTTATTCAATGTAAAAAATGAATGCATAAAATTCTCATTTTATTTCACTGTTAAATTCCTTTTAAAGGAACAGATTACAATTAAAAATGTCTCCGGACCTTTACTGGTTTTTGATTTTCTTTATTTGGACCCCGCTGATTTTTAATTGGTTACCCCTTGTCTATGGGATGAAAATAAGAAGGAAAAAGAATGAAACACAACCAAACGAAAAAAGCACAACCCAACCTCTATGAATAAAATTACAATAACTCTAACCTATTTGTGTTTTGTTTTATTTCTTCTGTCTTTAGATTTCAGCCTATGGAGGAGATGTTGTATTCACTGTGTCTTATACAACACATGAACAAGAGCAAGAGAATATCAGAGTCACCTCAGAGCCTGACCTTATCATAGAGGTAAGTATTAAAACAAGTAAAAGTGAAGCATTAACACACACTAACACCAAGTAAAGAGCAGGTTAACAGTGAACTGGAATGTTTTCCAATTTTTATGTGGTTCATTCTATAGTTTTTCTGTCTCAAAATGTGATGACAAAAACAAACTATGTTATTTTCCTGTTTTTAAAACCTAAATGCAAAAATGTAATTTTAAAAATCATTGCATGTATTTATCTTTAGCTATTCAAATCAGAAGCAAAATCGAAGTCTATTGTTTTATCTGTAGTGATTCTGATATAAGTGATTAGAGGTTACAGTTAAAGCCTATGAAAAAAGGATTAATTTAATAGAAGTTTGTGTCTTTAAGTTAAAAAATGCCAAACATTGCGTTAGGAAAAAAAAGGGGAAGGAAATGTTAAGTGGTTCCTGGGGTAACGGCATCCATAACTCCCTTACCGTAAGATGGACATTATAAAAAAAAAAAAAGAAAAACAGCAAAAAGTTAATCCAAGTATTTATTTCTATTTTTTAAACCCATAAAGGCTTCAATGACCATTAGAAATTGTACCTACAAGGGTAAAAACACAACGTCCACAGTCGGGTGTACTGTGATCATGCATAACTACCTCCTACACCCAAACTTAAGAAAAAAAGAAAAGGCACTGACAAGTGTCACCAAGGCCTGGTGATTACCTGGCTTTGTTTTTGCACAATAAATGGTTATGCATGTTTATTTGTCGTGAACGTTAAATAATGCAACAAGAAAAGGTGGTAAAAACAGACACGCACATAGACACAACAGCCACATCATATGGAGAATTGCTGAACTGAGCAATAAAAAATGCAGATGGAGCCTTTTCCACCTCCTCTTTTATAATGAGCAGGTTGCAGTATGATGCACGGCAGCAACGAGCAAAGCAGCGACACTATTAGTTTACTGTTAATATCGTCCTCATTAAACAACTTTGTCAGTATGTTCCAAACTGTGGCATCTACCAAAACAAAGGGGCATTAAAAGCATAAACAAGACAAATAAGCAAACCTGGTAGCAGTTCCTTGGGATTATATAGTAGAATATGATGATAACAGATTGGGTCATAAGGTTTTCAAATTAGGTAAAAGCAATAAAACATTAAATAAAAAATTGAGTATTCAGCCATGTCACTATGATACAGATATAATCCTGAATACCAAAATAAGTGTAAAAGGTACAACGGTCACTATGAGGTTCAGATGATCAGCTCAAAATGTGGCTTGGATTTTGACTGGATGATTTCAACCTTACAAGACTTTAATCTTTCAGGCATAATTTATTGAATCTCAAGGTTTGTTGTGGTCAAAGAAGTGCCACTACATTTAAAACTCTTAAATAAGATGTCATAAAGGAATCCATGGTTCATTGGTGGACAAATGGTATCTAAATGTCATCCATCAAAATAACCTAAACCATTAGCCCTCCATCGTGGCTTTTGATTGAAGAGGTCTGTGGTGATTGTGAGGATACGCACCACTATGTTTTGCCAAAGGAAAAAGAAAAGGTTTTATATTAAAGCTGAAAGTTCAGAATCTGAATTTATACTTACCTAGTAGTGTGTATAAAACAGTTTTTTTTACCAGAATTTAAAAGGAGATATAATTGACCAGAAAACAGGAAGCCTTTGTGATGCACAAGTTTGTACAAAATGCAAAAAAAGAACTGAAGTTATAAGCAAAGTGTTGCAAACTGAAACAAGTGATTAAAAATAAGATAAAATATCAAAGGATGAAATATGTTGTGAAATGCCAAAATGAAAACTAAAAGAAAAGGAGCTACAAATCGGTGAGCTTGTGTTGTTTAAAGGCATGTCAGTTTGGATGGAATGGAAGGAGGCGGAGAAGAGGACAAGTATCGGTCTTGTTGTCAACAAAAAGCCTCTTCATATGATGACAATAATGAGCCACCTACACACTGTCAGCCAACTTTCCCCCCTCTTCACCATCTCGCTTTTAGCCTTCATCTCATGTTTGTCTTTCTTTTTTTTTAACCCCACTGTTTTCTCTGCATCTGATACAAATTATGACCTTGATTTTAAATGAGCTATCAATATTCCAAATTTACGTAAATCTTCTCCAGACTGAATCTTTACGGATAAGTTAAGATACAAGATTTTACGAAACTGGGATAAATATTGATTTAGTTAGGAAAAAAAATATAAAAAATGCAGAGCTAAGCTACAGCACTGGTGACAATTTTTGTAACTGATGGCGCATCATTTGAGTTTCCTCTTATTTGCACAACCACCTGTGGTGTTAGTATTATTCCCAATGCTACTCCCTGCTCTGAAAAAAACAGACTTTGATTGTTTATTTTTGTATTTATCGCTTGATACAAAAGTTAATTTTATAATTATTTTTTCTATATATTTTAAGTTAAATTCATTGTCACTTGCCTCTATATTTAATAATAATAATAATAATAAGCTCCAATAACCTTTTTTCAGTTTTAATGTATACGCATCCAATTACAAAATAAATCCCAAACATTTTTACATTTGCACTTAAGTTTCTTCTTTAGCTAACTTTCTAAATGCAGCGTTGGAAATCAGATTTGCTTTTAATTAGTGAATTGATATTAGGGCTACTGTATGTATCAAATAATCAAACATTGATGTCTTTTTCTTTTTTTCTTTAACCTTTATTTAACCATGAAGTCCCATTGAGATTCAGAATCTCTTTTTCAAGAGAGACCTGGCCAAGGTAGCAGCCAAACCACAGGAAGTTCATACATATTTACAACATATTACATTTTGCTAAATATTACAACATTTTGAGAACAGAGTACATCAAAAACAAATAAATAATATACAATCAAATACATTTCTAATTATATTCTGCATATTTATGCATTCAAGTTTTTTTTTAATAAAATGCTTTTCCATAATTTCTTAACTTTGCGTCTTATAGTCCTACAGCAACTTTTCTGTTCTCGTAAGCTAATACTGCTTTTTTTAATTAGTTGCTTTATTTTTGTAATTGCGCCCTCCTCCCCTATTGGAGGTTGTCAGTGAGTTATTACATGTCATTGATCCCTGGGCAACCAAGGATGGTCAGATACAAGATCTTGGCTCAGTTCACTGTGCATTTAGTTCATTTAAATGTCAATATGGCTACTGCACCTCATTACCTAATGGCACATCATTCAAACAGGGGAGTTTGGACTAGTTCTAATAGACAGACTCATTATAGAACAAACATATAGAAAAAGGATCAGTTTTCACTTTCATTGAGCTGAACCAGAAAAAGAGAAAAAAATATATATATGTAACTGTTGTGTCTTTTCTTTAACAGGGAGGTGGGATCAAGCTTATAGACAAAAGGTTTGGCCAACCAGTATATCCATCCTCGACAAGTACCAAACACATTGTTCTCCTTCCTGAGAACTTCCTTGTCTCGGAGATTGAGCAGCCGATCAGTAGGAGAGATTTCCTGCTAGTGCTGGCTAATGTGACGAGTTTAATGGTGCGGGCCTCATACAGCACGGAAATGAGCGCCGTCTACAGGTTTGAAGGATACTTTGTTGGATGTTTAGTAATAATAATGGGAAGCACATGGTGATAGCATGTGTACTCTTTGTTTTTCCACAAGAAAATGCAAACTAGGATGTTTTAGAAAAAAATCACCATTAATCAAAAAGAGCTATCTCACCATTTTGAAGCAGCACTAAGAAACAATTTTACCTTAACACATATTTTTCTGAGTCTCTATGATGGTAATCTAAAGCCTCTTTCCCACTGAAATTAACGGGTTACACGAGTTTTTCAAACAAGGGTCGACCCGGTAACGATCTGCGTTTGGCTCCAAAAAAAGCTGGGTCTGACCCATCATCATGCTGGGTTAATGTTGATGATGTCACCAGTGTAACAGAAATCAGGAACGTAAACCATGGAGAGCAGCATTGAAGGAAGCCATGGTATATTAGGTGTTCTTTATTGTCTCATTCTTTTGTCCCTCTGAATCTCTCTCATTAGTGTCGCCGCATGTTTATCGACAGCAAGCAGAGTTGTTTAGGCATTTTAAATCAGACGGGCATAATGTTTGACGTACGTCAATGGTATGATGTAAATTAGCGGGTCGATCCTAGTCTGATATTCCCACTTTATGGCGATCAGGGCCGAGCCGTTTGAAGGTAATTTTAAACTTGGTTGCTGGTTCTTTCTGCCAACAAAACTCCAATTGTTTCCGGGTTTAAAGGTGTTTTTTGGACAATGGAAAGGGGTATTAGTTTTTTAAGAGACAATTCAGTGGTCTGTCATCTGTCCCTACCGGCTCTGATCAGAAAGCCACATTATCAAGTTTCTGTGCCACCGACCCAGTAGCAGTGGCAAAACTACCACTGGGTCGGTGGCACAGTAGAAGTCTGTTCTCATTCTTGCAGTATGATGAACAGCTTCACTACAGCCTAATATAATGCTTCTTAAATCAATAGCCACATGCCTCGCGCTGTGCTATTCACAGATTATTGGAGAAGAGCTTTTTTTATTTTAGTGGTTTATGATAGTGTCAGAAAAAAGGGCAATGAAAACAGTTAGTAGCAGAAAGGAAGAAAAAATGAGAATCAGATCAGGATAGAGCTCACAGAAGAGTGAATTTGGGCAAAACATTTACTCTGTGAGGAGACCTCAAGCAAAAACAAGGACTGATACAGGCCTGGCAATGTTGCTATTTGACCTGTTGAGATGCCATATTTGTCAGTGTTACTGTTGTGACCTAAGAGCGATTACTTTTTAGCCTGCATTTATAAAACATAGAGAGGCTGAATCATCTTATGCTGTTTATCTACAGTTTGTTTGAGAGGAAGACTCACATTTCACTTATATAAAGGTGAACATTTTCACCATAAAAGCAACTTAATACTAGTTTATATGATATGGGTCTTTCAGTTACAGTTAGTTTAGAGAGTGAAATCGCTGGTGGTATTTTCAAAAGGTCCTGTAGGGGGAAAGAACTCTCATATTACTCAGTGTTGCTCTAAACTGGCAGTAAAATGTATAATTATTTGTTATTTTTATTTTTAGAAAATTGTATTTAATTATAAAGATCAGTCTCCAATGTCACATTGTTTTGAGCATTGTTGATGAAAGCGTATTGACAAAAACATTGCATTAATTCTGCAGTGTGCAATAACTTAATTCTGCATTGGATTTCATCATCTCTCCATGCAGGATGAAATTAATATGCAAACATAATATTGATTTCACTAACTATTCTTCAAATTTATATCCAAAAAAAATATTGTTTGCTTGATTTATTTGTCTTAATGAATGAAACTCATTGCTAGTGGGTTAGTTTTTGTTAGTGAATAGAACTTGGGGTCTTAAACCTTTTAATTGTAACCTGGCTTTGGATTTATTGCAGGGTTTGATATGCATAGATTGATAGAATGCCGATGGGCCAAAAAGTACATGCTTAATTATTTCATCTCTTTTAATTCTACACAGGCTTAACTCATTCTCAATGCAGGTGGCAGATTCTTCTGCCAGTGGAAAGATAGCATCAGCTGTAGAAATGTGTGACTGCCCTCCTGGATATGGAGGATTATCTTGTGAGGTAAGTGTACACAAAATAAATAGCAAAAACAGCTTAACTCCAATGGAAAGTGCAAATTCACCTTTGAAATGTGTGTTTCAGACCTGTCTCCCTGGTTTTCGGAGGGTCCATGGTAAACTGTATAATGGTGTGTGTGAACCTTGCCAGTGTCACGGACACAGTTTGCATTGCCATGAGTTCACAGGGAATTGCCTGGTAAGATTATTTAAAGAAAATCAAATTTTTAATATTTAGAAAATTTTACAGAAAGCTACAGCTCTTGGGTTTTTCTAAAGGAATCAAATGAAATATGACAATTAGAGGGTCAGAGCTTGAATGACAGTACAGCATCTAAGATTTACTAATGCAAAGCAAAAAGTAAAACTGAAACCTAAAATTAGCATCCTATTACAGGGATGCTAAAACTGGTGTTTACCGGTTAGAAATTGTGCTGCAGCATTCTGCACCAGCTTTACTCGTAAAAGAGTGACCTGGCTGACACCAATCAAAACAGAATCACAGTGGATGTGATAAAAGCATGGATAACGATTTCAAGATGGCGTCTAGTCTGGCAGGGCTTAATCTTTGACAGCCAACTCCACTGAGAAAAGGAGGATTTAATCACAGCATTTACATGTGCATCAAAATTGAGATGTTGTATTTTTTTATATAGGTCCAAAGAGTAAAGATCAAGAGAAGAAATATTGTTTGGACTTTAACATAATTAAACTGCATAATCGTAGTCTTTTTTTGTTTTTTTTCATTTAACCTAAGGATTCAGAGTCATCTGTGTCCTGATTTAATCTAGACAATGAAATAGAGGTTGAACCCATTATTCTTTAGAGAAAAACAAACCTGGCAGCGATCACAATACTAATAAAATGGCATTTCTTAAAAATAGCTCTAAGTGAAAGTAAATAGAAAGTAAATATCAAAGGATCAAGAATTGACTCCTGGGGGACCTCCCAAGGGAGGGCAGCTGAAGCAGAGGTAATTGTTCATCATGACTCAGAAGCTCGTATTGGTTAGGAAGGAACTAAACCACTGTAGAACTGAGTCAGTTATACCAACTCATTGCTACAGTATGGAGACAAGGATTTCGTAGCCCAGCTGCAGCTAAATCCAAAAGCGGGGAAGAGAAATGCTAGTTGTGAAGTGCACAACCTTGTCCCAGGAAAAGCAAATAAAGCTACCACAGGGTTCTCTGGAAGCATCCAGAGGGGCAGGCTGTAAGTATTAAATGTTATTCTTTGTAGTTTAAATAATAACAGGGATTGTGAGACTTTGAAGCAATAACCTCAAAGTAATATTTTGCTTAGAGATTATCATAATTATTAGTAATATTTTATTCAGTATTGTATGCATGTTTCACAGCAAAATGATAACAGAACCAGATTTCTCTCAGTATTTCAAAATGTACTTGTAATCTATTATTTTTCCATTTCAGTTCATTTTTTTATAATTTATTTTTTATTCTATCCAAGGTCACCGAATTTAAAATAGCATTGCACTTGGAATTAAAATGGAACAAAAGCTCATCAGTGGTGGACTAAAAGTAATGAGCAGGATTTTATCAGTTCGGTTAGAGGAATAAAATCAAATAAAACAGGCATTTGATCTGAAAATAGTTCATAACAGATTTCCAATTAATGAATAGATGCACCAAAAGTGGACACATGGTCATTGGTTGGGCCATTCACTTACTGATTGTGATCAAAAACATTCAAAAAATCTTGTAAATCCTTTAGTAGTTTTCTCAAAGGCAACACATGCATTAAACTCTCCAACAGTAAAGCTTACTCATATTCTGCATAATTTCCCCCAAGAAGTCAGAAAACTCATTGAGAAAGTCTTTGTTGTTCTTTGGTGGCTGATAGATCCTAAAGGTAAGCAACCCAACTCAAATACAATCAGTATAAAGTTAGACTAAGGAGAGCTGCTCACACTCTTAATTAGGTTTTAAATTGTGGCTAAACCTCCTCTAGTTTGGACCTTAGATTATTGCGAGTAAATGTGTAAATGTGAGGCAACATCTTAGGACTCACTCACAGAGATCCATGCTCCAGCCATACAAAGAAGGTCCAGTCTGTGGGCCATGAAGAATTCCTTAATAATATAGTTATGTTTATTATGGATTTAATATCCATTTGGCTCTTTTCAATTTCTTTTTCTTCCGAGAATCATGCATGATGCATGCATTACTAGCTTGCTCTGTCGGGTAATGGTATTTTACTGAGGTACTGTCTTTGTTTCCACTATAAATTGGACTTTGCGTGTAGCCAAAAAAAAAGATCTATTTTTGTCTGACATGACCAGAGCTCCTCTTTCCAAATGTTTGCTTTATGCCTAAATGTCCTTTGGCTGACATTCCAGAGAACCTCCTACTGTTTGCTTCTTGCCACACTTCAATAAAGGCCACATTTGTTGAGTGCACAAGAGGTAGCTGCCCTCGCAACCGATTCTTCCGCCTGCGTTACGGATATCTGATTCTCCTACAGGGTGAATATGAACCTCTTGGCTGATTCTCTGAGAAATGGATTTATACTCAACAGCGATCCAGTGGACTGCACTGTATTTATGAATTAGGTGACTTCCAGAGGCAATTTATTAATAAGGAATATAACCCACTACGTACCACAATTCTCAGATTTCTGTTTACGAAACTGAAAATCTAATACCAAAATTATATAATTGTATAATTTTACTTCTGGAAATTGTATTGGTCTGTTGCATTTGATGTCGATGAAAATTCATTGCAGTTTGCATTTGTTGCTTTGAGAAAAGGTGGAAAAAAATGTTTAAATTGGTAACTGTTTCATTCAAAACATTCATAAAGTTGCAGGCCTTTTAAATATAGTCAGCTAATACTTTATTCTAGATGTGCAGTACAACCTTTGAAACAAAAGGTACAAATCTCCAGAAAAGATCTAGTGAAACTCATTTGGATCTGCCATCTAGTTGTCATCAGGGGAACTGCGGGGGGATGCACTTTCCTGCTGTTTACACACATTCATACATAATATATGTATAACAGACACATATATACCTCTGATGTGGATTTCCACACACTCACTCCCCGTTCTTCCCACAGCCTTAGGCTAATTCCGTCAGTTGACATTGCACTAAATACACACACACGAAAACCCAAAGAGGCGAGTACACATGGAGAACGCACACATGCACACCTGTGGGTTTGTATTACCGTATTATGGTTCATTATAGATGAGGATGTGTCAGAGGGAGACGTGCATTCAGAGAAAGATTGTCAGGGAGGCTATCTCTTAGATACACCAAAACACACATACACACACCGTCTGACATCCCCTCACTTACAATCACACGCGCTCATGTCCCACCTGTATACACAGTGACAGACAGGCAGACAGATGCATCCAAACACTCCCTCACTGACACCAGTGATTTGTAGCTACAGCTGAATGACTGACTGACGCTATAGACATATAGGTTAACACAGTGTGCATGTGTCAGGATGGGTTTCAGCAGTGTAAGGTCATTTGTTATGAGAAACGGATGATTTGGAGGATGTTGACATACTATCATTTTCCCAAATACAGAAACTGAGAGTTGTTGAAGCTGCAAAGCTGATTTCTGCAATGAAAAATATTTTATATTTGAGGAAACTGGTCAAATATAAGGAAGTGAAAAATCTATGAAGCTACTGTAAAACATTTTTTTTATGTTTTCTCTTTGAAACAGTATGCTTTTCAATGATTTATCTATTGGTCGAGGAACTGCCTCAAGGCAATATGGTCCAAACAAGGTGGAAGATTTCTTCAGTGATGTTTTGGAAGTAGTTGTGGACTCTGCTTTTGTTTATTACCAAATGTTTTGTCCAAATTACTTATAGTAATACTGTGCATGTCACTGCTTTTAAATGAGCAAATTTAAACTTGTGATATATTCACAAATAACAGTATCTATTCCTTTGAATGAAAAAGATATATCAAGTCAAATAATAATAATATAGTAAAAACTAGATCTTGTGTCAGGTTGGTTTCCTGCATGCTTTTTTTTAACCTTTAATATTGCATGTGGTCAAAATCATTGCTATGGATATCATGATTTACTAAAACAGCAGCGTAGAAATTGTTTTTGAAACTGGGGAAACAATAAAAATTTGTCTAGAAAAATAAATTCTTTCTATTCAGACCTGTTGTCTTTTGCTAATTTTAAGGTGATACCATGTCAGCTGAGAGCAGGTCTTCTGCAGGCCTCTCTCAGTAGCTGAACTCCTCACAATGTCTTTAAAGGAGCACCCAGCCCACCTACCAAAGAAGCAACTTTTTGCCACTTCTACCCGGGATCCTGCTCTTTCAGTCATGACACAAAACCCATGACTGTAAGTTGGGGTAGGAACCTAGACTGACCTGGTATTTTTGAAAAAAGTCCTTTATTGGACCTAAAACTCATAGCTGAAGTTGGAATATTACTATGAATACAGTCAATCAAGTTTCTAATGCGGAGAATACAAATATGTGAAATTGAGGTGATCTGGTCAGATGAGACCAAGATTGAATTTTTTGGTCTGTATGTAAAACCTCATTTGCTTCCGGATCTCTGAACAAACTGCCCCAGAATGAAATAAAGGTGTGGCAGCACCCTGCCTCAGAGAGAATGTTCTTTAATAGAGCAGGACATTCATTAGAGCTGGTTAAGTACTTTAAAGACTTTAAAGTGGCTGGAGGTTCACATTTCAGCAGGACAAAAACTATAAACACAGAGTGCTACAAAAATACATTTAGATTAAAAGATGTTCGTACTTAGTATGACCCAGTCAGTCCAAGCTTTTCCAACATTTAAGTTGTGGCGGCACCTAAATATTTCTGTTCAAAGATTCTTTCTGTTGAGTGTGACATAACCTGAGAAAAAACATTCAATGCATAGTTTGAAAAAAAATTACCTTGGAGCTTGAAATACCTCTGAAAAGTAGATTTACAAAGTATTCGCTCAACAGGTCTGAAGGCAAAGGGAATAATTTGGAAAGAAAAGTAAAATAGAGAAAAGAAGAAGTATATGTCCTTTTGCAATATTATTATGAAATGCATAACTATTTAACAGACATCTAAGTATCCGTCATTATTGTAAAACATCCTTTTATTCTTTTTGCTTTTTCTTAACCGTTTTCTTTTTTTAAGCTCTCATTAGTAAGGGAAATCTACCTCCTGTTACAGTTTGTTGCTGATAAATTTGTTTTTTCTTCATTGTTTTGCATTAGCTTGTATTACAACATGATCTGCATCTTGGCAGTCAGTATTTACTCCTCTATATTAAGTACACTATGTTGTCTGCAAACTATGCAGTAAGGCAAAATGGATTTTTTTTGAATATTTAAATAATTTCTAAATGTTAAAAAACTTAACATAAAGGTTTACACTCTTGAAAATGCAAAGATGATAAACCCTTGTCTCGGCATCAGAACAAAGTTTTTTGGACAAAATTTGTCCAAATGTATCTCTTTAAAGTGTAATGTTTCTCTTCTCTAGGACTGCATCCACCACACCACTGGCCATCAGTGCGATACTTGTCTACCTGGTTACTATGGCAATGCCACCCATGGGACACCTCAGGACTGTCAGCCATGTGCTTGCCCACTTACTCTTCCTAGCAACAAGTAAGTTCTGGAGAACCCAGGGTTAATACTGTGGCAAATGTTACAGCCTGTTAGTGCCATCTAGCTATATTTATAATCTCCAATCCAATATAAAGACTTCCTCATTTTGGCTTAGATATAATTGTTGTGACATTATATTAAAAATATCACCACCACAGGTAGATTGGAACAAAATCTATGACCAAAAGCATTATCACTGTGGGACTAAATGTCATCATCATCTAACCATCAAAATGTGTTTGAAAAATAAATGAAAAACAAACTGAAAAGTTATTGGAAAAAAATAACATGTACAGTACCATTTTTTCTGAAAGCAAATTCCATTGTACTGCCCACATCAAAAAGCTGGAAACATGCAGGTCTGTCTGTCTGTCTGTCTGTCTGTCCATCATCTATTTTCTTATTTATTTCATAAAGGGTGAAAAATGAAGCTGTACATGAAACAAGGTCTCTAACTTCAGGCATCTTTTGTGAGAGTCAGTTTACTTTGATCAAAAGTAAGGAATTCAGACTGAATCTAAACCTTTTCAATAGATATTGAAACTTCAAGCACACAGCTATTCATGAGCATTAGAGATAATCCTTGGGTTTGTTTTATGGTTTGTCTTTTATAAAAAAGCAAACCTTTGGGAGCTTGATATTACGTTTTTGTTAGACATTCCTGCAGAAAATGTTCTTGTTCATTTCTGTTAGCTCTATTCATGTTTCAGCATACATGGCCCTTGGTCTTTGACAAAAAAAAACAAAAAAAAACAACAAAAAAACAAACTCTTCCTCACCCACTGCGGCCGCTCCCCCTTTTTCCCCCCCCAACTATTATTATTATTATTCATATTATTATCGACAGAGTTAAAAAGATTATGGATGTAAAGATGGATATTGGAAAAACAACCAAGAAATTACTTATAGAATAAATTCAGGCAGTAAAATAATGCAGTAAACGTGTTCCATTCAGATCTTAGTGATATTGAGACACACATGCCCACACACAGGCACATTGTTAGCAGCAGCTGAGAATTTTCACACAGTCATGACGTGTCATTTCAACCAGGCTACGAGCTAAAGAAAGGCACAACTCCCCCTTCCCCCTCTGCCTCCCTGCATGGTAATAGTAATAATGGCTTGAAGTGTCAGCTCTGTAAAAATATCCATATAGCCTCTTCAGCGTTTGCTGTTTAGTAACAACAGCTTCCATGAGAATCTAATAAACCAAAACATATTGGTGTTGCTGTAAGAGCAGGGTGCTTAACTAGACTGTCAATACAAACCAGCTTAGTACTTTAGTTTGGTTCGTTTAAAATACACCTGAGTTTTCACATCAATGGTGTTTTATTCTTCTATTTTGCAGAACTTACATTAAAATATTTAAATATTATATTATATTTATAATATTAAATATTATAAATATTTAGGAATAATTTAAATTGTTCCTTAACCTCGCTCTTTTAGCTGTTCAAACTTCACGAGTTATTTTCCACAATTTCGGTCATAAATAAAATCAAGCCGGCCTCCTGTCTGCGGCACTGTCTGCAGTCAGTTACAATTTGGGAGAGGTGCAGCGGAGTGTCTACTGAGGGGGCGGTGACGTCTTTTTGTTCACTGCTGCACCTACACAGAGGTCCTGGTGTTGAAGTATAAATCAGCCTTAAGTATCTAGATGTGCGAAGCTAGCAAATACCTAAAAAGCTCTGCAGTTGTGATTTCCCCAAGTGAAGAAACCCCCTTTCTTTACTTGTTTTGACACAAGAACGTTTTTTTTTTCAATTATACGGAACTTCATTGGGTTGGTCTATTATATGACGGCAATATAAAATGTGTTTTATACCATGAAATTTGGAAAACCCTACAAATACTGTAAACAGTTGTTGGCAGAATTAAGTTAAATAGTAAATCTTCTCTTTGACAAACAGTTATATTAAGTGTAGAGTTATAGCATTTGTTGAAAAAAATAATCACCTTTAAAAACACAAAAAAGCCACAATTACAGCTAGGCTTGTCTAGCTGATATACGTAAGAATATCTTTTTGCAGAGAACTAGTCATCTATATAAATAATCAGATTTTATTTAAAGAATCGGCTTTTATATTTTATGCAAGACCATTTGCCAAAGCAGCTTATCTGGGCCTGGGTGAGCAGATCATCATGAGCCAGTCTGTCATCTAGTGAGCCAGTCTGGAGCCTGGAACCCGAGCCAGCTGAACTATCTATAGTTTATGGAAGTGGGAGGGCGACTGAACAGGGGGCAAATGACTATCACATTACTTTGGTTTCCTATCTCTTAGTCCATGTAGGCAACAGTTTGTAGTTAGAGGAGGCTTTCATCTATTTAATCACTGCTTTTAGATGTAGATATGCGTGTTTGGCATTAAGAAATAAATGTGAGAAAGCAGAGTGAGAATAACTAGAAAGTGAAAGCAGGGCTGAGGCGTGCCAGTGAGGTGACAAACCATGGTCTTAATTCGCCTGTGTCTTCTCTTCCTCGTCTTCTTCTACCTGCCTCTTCCCACACCGGGACAACGCTATCGACTTCAACAACAACTTCAACAACAATTACGCCACCGTGGAAACCTCAACAGCTTTAGCCCCACATGCCACCTTGGTGAAGGAGGAGAGCTGCTCTGTGACCGCTGTCAGCCCGGGTACACAGGGCCAAGATGTGACAGGTAAACACATTTTACAATCAAAACATGTCATTAAAACCAATAAATATTTAATATCTTCTTTTACAGTTTCCTGCAATGAACCCAAGCTTTTATGTTTAATCAAATGGGCACTCATTATCTTTGAAGATTTAATTGAAATAATTAAACTTGCCCTTAGATGTGCAACAAAAAGGAAAGCGGTTATTCTGGTCAGTCGAGGAAAGGTCCATTTGGGGAAGAATTCAATCTAGCAGTCTGTAGCTCCCAAAGAAAATGGAATGTGCTGCTCATTAACTGTATTGAGCACTATTTCTTATTGTCCAGTTGGCTGCCTATCCATTACATTTTTTATTATCCTAGTTGACTGACATGTTTGTGTCATTAGTTGTTGGCTTTATAAGCAGCTCACCACTAATGAGAAGTATTTTGCACTGGATGGTATTTCTTGTTAAAACTGTAGGTTGTACTGTCATGTGATGATGGACTCTGTTTTTTTTTTTTCAACACCCAGGCTAAGTAAACTGCAGAATATTTGTTGTGTGTATCAAGCTTTGGAATCCAGACCTAAAAAGAGATGTACTCACTATTTTGTTTTAAATAATTGAGTTAAGAGAAAATGCTAACATACATACAGGCACGCTGTTCCCTTCCTGAAAGAAACCTCAATATGTTAACATTTTGTTCTGGCTTATAAAGTGCAGAGATTTGATTTTCCTTCAAAATTAATAACCTTCTTAATCTGCTATACCTCTATCTAGAGTCAAATATCAAACTTGAGCATCCCTAACAGCTGCTATGATTGTTATTACTTTGAGAGCAACACTGCAATCCACAACTTTAGATATAGATAATTGGCTTGGGTCTAATTTTAGTGCTCGGTCCTGTTTCTCTTATAGACACAGCTGTTGGCTCAGTTTTGCATTAAAAACAGCCCAGCGTTCACCTCCTAGACACAGCAACCTATGGAACTAGTTTACAGTTAACCCTTCTAACATGGAATGTTTTTTACAGATTAGCGCGTCTATGCTCCTTTTTTTATGTCTGTTTCTTTCTTCTTGAAGCCTGCTCACACTGAGTATGGCTCTGCTGGAGGTTTCTTTCTGTTGAGAAGGGATTGTTGCTCTTTACTGTTGCTACATGCATATTTCGTGTGAGGAATTGCTCACATGAAGGGGGGGGGGGGGGGGTTGGGGGTCAACAATTGACTGAAGCAATGTGTGCCACAGACAATGCTGTTTGGTGCATTCTTTTAGCTGCCAGGGGCCCCGCCATGAGGCTGTTCCCTTAAAGCGTTGCCTTTATCTCTGTGGAAAGATCGTAGCCACATTGGGGAAGGAGAGGGAAAAAAATATATTTCACACTTTATCCTTGACAGGGTACAAGTTGAGATATACACTATATTGCCAAAAGTATTTGCTCACCCATCCAAATTATTGGAATCAGGTGTTCCAATCACTTCCATGGCCACAGGTGTATAAATTCAAGCACCTAGGCATGCAGACTGTTTTTACAAACATTTGTGAAAGAATGGGTCGCTCTCAGGAGCTCAGTGAATTCTAGCGTGGAACTGTGATAGGATGCCACCTGTGCAACA